GACCAATTAAAACATGAGACAGCTCATTGTGACAATGGACCTCAATTTTGTTGCAAGTAGGATGGGGACTCATTGCGAGCACAGGGAGGGGAACAAACACAATATAAAAGAGAGAGGAGAGAGAAGGGAGAGGAGAAGAGAATGATAAAGGAGAGTGGGAGAGAGAGAGAGAGATGAGAGAGAGAGGAGAGAGAGAGAGAGGAGAGAGAGACAGAGAGAGAGAGAGAGATCGGCAGCTCGATGATCCTCGCGACGAGAGAGACCCCCCTAGAGCTGCAGCTCGAGCCAGAGATAACGACGAAAGAGAACCAGAGAAAGAGCTCCAGCAACATTACAATGAAAAGGGGAAATCAAATAAATAGTGTTGAATTATTCAGCACTGAGGGAAATAGGATCCTGTCAATCACCTAAAGTCCATCTTCTGCCTCACTGCAAACCCTGGCAGGGAAATAAATGGTGCTTAACTGGCTAGCCTAATAGGTGTGGCAGAATATGGCTCTTATTAGCTCTCAAAGTGTATTTGCATTGTAGAAGTTGGACTGCATGGCTGCATCCCAAATGGCACCCTATTGGCATTATAGTGCACTAATTTTGACCAGGCCCCATAGGGTAGTGCAATATAAAGACAATAGGGTGCCATTAGGGATGCACACCATTTGGGCGGCCCCACCGTAGCATGGGTTTGACTGCTTAATTGCCTCCAGGTGATGATTATTCAGCTTGGAACTACAGAGAGACCCTACTTAATGTCAAAGAAAAACTTTTTTGTCTGCCCTTAATTTAGTCATTTGATGTATTGCTACGTTTTTGGGAGCGTAGCTACAGTAATTTCTACAGCCTGTCAACAATAGCTGCCTGGACAAAGACAGCTCCATTTGTAAATGTCCTTTCTCTCGGGAGCAGACCAGACACGCTTACCTTAAAATATTTTACTCTTTCATACTATGACTAGGCAGAATACTCTGATGCCTTTTCAGCAGTAGGCCTCCAGTATGCAATATAACAAAAAGTGTGCAGTAGCCTCCTTGTAATATAATATTGCTTCTCCTACTCCGGTTATCAATCTCTTCTTTGATTTAACGTACACTCTAAACAAATTTCATAAAAATAAGGGTAATAACATATTGACTTTCTTGTTTTACAGTACTTCCATGTCTGACTCTGCGCTGCTGTTGCTTGGTACAACTTTTCTCCGTACGAGGCACGATGGGGCCTTTTATTCCCACAAGTCATTATGGTGTTGTGCTAAGGTGCTCCAGCTTCCTATGATTTGTAGCTAATGAGCTGGCACCCCTGCCCGTGTTCAATTATTCTCATTGAGAAAGTGATTTCTCACTCCGCGGAGCAAATCGGAAAATGCACTCGCTAATTCTAATCAGGATGTGGAAAGAAATGTCCCGTAAATAAGGTGATGACGAAATATGCTGGGGCAGGTTGTGACGGAGGTGGAGGGAGATTGAGGGAGAGAGAGCGAGAGAGAGAGAGAAATGAGAGAGAGAGAGGGAGAGAGAGAGAAACAATGCCTTTCACCTTTTAACGTAACCTTGGCATAGTTTCACTTGATGTCGTCAGCTTTGATGTGCATGGCAGAGATGTCTCCCCTCTACACTTCTCCAGATCTGTTTACAGTCAGAGAAAGAAATGGTCCAGACAGATCGTTGCTGTTGTTCATTCTGAAGGGCCAAATGAAGGAGGTAGGAAAAGCTGCCTGAGTGGTAATCAGGTGTGGAGAGAGGGAAGTGAAGATGAAACGAGGAGATAATGATGGACATGAGTGCTAGACAGGTGTGTGTTTGTCTGTGTCCATGCATTTGCGCGTGTGAAGAAAACACATAAAGGGAGTGGCTCTTTAAGCAACACAGCCTATTGATTGCTAATGACTCAGTAGCAGAGACATGACTGCTTTAACACAAAGGGAGGGACATTGACAGTTAGGCCTGCTATCGGAATCACCAGTCCCACTCCGTCTCTCTCCCCCGCTCTCTCTCAGAGCAGTGCTAGCTGGTGGTAAATTATTCCATATTAATACTGAGAAATAAGTATCAGCCAGGCAGCAAGAACAGCCCATTTAAAAACATTTTTTTATCTTGTGCAAATTAGATAACAGAAATAAAGGTGGCTCCAAAACTTTCAGTAGAGTTGGCTATGAGTTAGGAAAGAAGAGTGAGAGAGAAATAAGGGGGGGGGGGAGGGAGAGAGAGAGAGAGAGAGAGAGAGAGAGAGAGAGAGAGAGAGAGAGAGAGAGAGAGAGAGAGAGAGAGAGAGAGAGAGAGAGAGAGAGAGAGAGAGACAGAGACAGAGAGAGAGAGAGAGAGACTACTGGGAAAATGTGTGGGAAGAGATCTGAGAGCAGGGGACTTTAATTGTGCTGCTTCCAATGCTGTTTGCATTCACAGCCTGACGATTGTTATGCCTTTATAATACAGTCCCAGCCAAAGGTCGTTTCAGACACGTAGGCTACAGTCCCAGGAAGCAACAATTGTCTGGGACATTATGTCTTAGATTAAGTTGTCAAATTAAGGCAGAACTTTACTGGTGTGAAGGGAGAGAGTTGAAAATAATTCTGAATCCTAATAGAGCAAAAATACATTACAGTAAGAGGAGAGCAGTCCCTGGGTAAAAGCTGTTTAACTAGGCCTATTTACTTTAGTAACTAGTAGAACTACAGTGTATGGAAAACATCCTCCTAATCTTTGTCTATTTGATAAGACAATAAAATATTTGTGAAATGATCATGGAATTACACTGTAAAAATAAAAAGTCTCAAAACACCATGATTGTGTAATGAAACCAAGAAAAGTAGTGCATCTAAGTTTGGAGGGTGTTTGAATGTAAACCCAATGTAAGTGTTTAAATACTCCGAATGTGTTTTAAAACAGAAATGTAGTCCTCTAAAACACCCAAAGTGGTTCTTTAACCTGAATATTGGTGTTTTTAAGAAAGTGTTGAGAAAATACTTTTTGGGGTTTCAGTACATTTAAAAGGCAGCATCAAAACACAAACTGTGTCTCTCATACAATCAATGGTTTAAAAATTCAAAAGGTTTTTAGCCTAAATATTGATTGATGATAATGGATACAATTTTTTCTATGCTTTATTTAGACAAATTAGAAACAGGAGGGGCAGTACATTTCGTTGGAATTTTACCCACTCAACCAGACAGCAAGAAATGATTCTGGGGTGAATTGAAAAAAATTAAAATATAATAATAATAATAATAATAATAATAATAATAATAATAACAATAATAATAACAATAATAATAATAAAATAAAAACATATAGTTCATAAAAATGAATGCAAGCCATGCAAAGCCTGTGGTCTAGCGGTAACGCACCCGGCTAAGACACGTCACCCCTCTCCCCACCGAAGACCGGGGTTAAATTCCCAGGTCCAACCCTTCAATCTGTTTCTCCCACCTATCTGTATCCCCTCCGTCATTTCATAATTGTCTCAAAAAGTGTCAAAATACCCCCCAAATATCAAAAATAAATAAATATGTGAGTTGTTTCAATTATTTACTAATTTAATTTTTACCTAAATAATGTAATAATGTAACTTAATATGTTGCTCAAAATGTATCTTTCATAAGGATAACCAAAGAGAGAGAATTTTGAGTGATTGAACTCATCGGAAGTCTAGGTTTTAATCACCTTGCATCTTGCCAAGTGACTATTTTTAGAGGATTGTGGGTAATTCAACATTTTTAGACTATGATTCTTTCACACAATGTTGTATGCATGTTTGAAGAAAGAAAAGTGTATTTCTATATGTATTAAGCTTGTTGCACCATGAGGTGTAATGAATCATGATGAACGGATATCAAAACTGTCAGGCAAATTTACGTTCAATGAGGAGAGCACCCATTCCCACATTCATGAATGTCATGGAAGAAGCAAGTGCAGAATCCTCAATTATTGCAGTTCAACCTCCAGTTAGTGCTGGTGGTTTGCACACTGAGCTTGAAAATGCCTGCCAAAATGGTATAAAATGACAAATTATCAAATACATAAAACAATGTTAAACATTAAGACACCAGACGAAGGGATCTAATTCTGAACTAGACACGATTCAAAACATCATAATGGTGTTCAGAAGTTTTAGAGAGAGGAAATCATACCAAAAGAGAAGGTATCTAATTATGCACTAAACAGGACTCGAAACACCAAAATAGTGTTTTCAATCTTTTCTGTTAGTGCTCCCAGTCTCCGGAAATGTGTTGCACAACACCTGATTAGGTGGTGTTACAACACACGGTGTCATGTTTCAAATAATCTCAGGATGATGTGTTTCAATACTCCAGCAAAGTTAAGGTTTCATCTCCTTCAAGTTGGTGGCAGCTCAGTTATTATATTGTTTCAGCCCATAGGGCTCTGGTCAAAATTAGTGAATATATATATATATATATATAGGGAATAGGGTGCAATTTGGGACACGGCCATGGTGTCAGTAGCATCTGTCTCAAGTCACATTTGACCTGTTGGTCACCACCTATCAATGACCATACCATGACCCTAGAAGTGACCACTGACCAGGATTAAAGGGTGGGGACAGAGGAGTGTAGAACGTATCTGTCATCTCAATAGGAAGACGGCAACAAGACCCTATCCCCAAGCACAATATTAACCCTGTCCTGGGTGTCCCCAAGCATCAGATTGACCCCAGGTGACTGGAACCCAACACTTTACCCTTACCAAGGCCAGCCACTTATGCTGATGGATAGTGTATGCTGTGTCATGAATAGGAACAGGAAATACTCCTGACCTGGTGACTTGACCAGGAACAACTCTGGTCTCAAGTTAAAACCTTTATTAGAGAAGCCCAGTTTTTTGTGGTCAGGAAAAACTCCTGTCAGCAGTTAAAACATCCCAGCAGTAGTCTGACTCTCTGTCTGACAAATGACTGCAGCTCCATGCCTCTCCTCTCCTCTCAGGGGGTTGTGGAGTGGCGTTGTGTTAGTCCATTGTGCCGGCAGGTTAATGGACTAGAACAGTTCCAGCTCACTGGCTGGTCTTCACAGGAGAGGAAAAGAGAAGAGGGGAGAGGCACCGGTGCTCTTTGAACACAGACATACAGCCACTCCTCCCTCTAACAGGTGCTGGGGTGGTGGGAATGAGAGAAACATGGATGGAGATGGAGGGAGCAGTGGCCTGGGAGAAGGAGGGAAGGCAGGGGAAGAAATTAGGAATGGAGGGAGCCTGGAGGGTATTATAAAATAGGTAAAAGAGAGGGAGGGATGGGAGGAAGGAGAGATGAAGGGATGGAGGGGCAGTTGCCTAGGGGAAGAAAGTAGTTAGGGAGGAATGGATGGAGGGAGCCTGAAGGGTGTGGCAAAAGAGGTAAGAGAGAGAGGCTCACTCAGTTCTGCATACACAATGACAAGTCACCCAGACACATTCCTTTCCCCTTGAGCAGCTCTGAATGAATGCACCTCCTGAATGCTTACCTACCTACCTAGAATCAAGGTCAATAACACAACGTCTCTCAATTCAATGACAGCCTCAGCATCTACGCCTGTTGGGGTCTGGGAGGGAAGGAGGGAGATGTAGCCTGTTTGTTTGCTTGGCTGAGCAATGAGAAGAAAGCGAGCCATGCTTGATTGATCAACATGTGCTCTGACTCACAGCACAAGCTAGTATCTTTCGAACTCAGTCTAGGGAGAGAGGGTGAGCTAAGCCATGCTAAGCTAGCTAACCAGGAGAGAGAGAGAGAGAGAGAGAGAGAGAGAGAGAGAGAGAGAGAGAGAGAGAGAGAGAGAGAGAGAGAGAGAGAGAGAGAGAGAGAGAGGAGAGAGAGAGAGAGAGAGAGAGAGAGAGAGAGAGAGAGAGAAGCCTGGTTGGGAGCAGCTCAGTGCTGGCTAGTTAATTAAGTGTGTAAAGCTCATTTGAGGCTAAGGCTGTATTGTAGTGCTGTATGTGACTCTCTCTCAGCAGGACTCTGTCTCTAGTGAGCTAGCATTTACATTGTAAGGTAATTACACAGAGGAGAGGAGAGGAGAGGAGAGGAGAGGAGAGGAGAGGAGAGGAGAGGAGAGGAGAGGAGAGGAGAGGAGAGGAGAGGAGAGGAGAGGAGAGGCCCCCCTCGACAGAGAGGAGAGACAATGTGGCATTGGTTTTCGTAAAAATAATCCTCTATTTTGAACACACAGCAGCACCTACTGGCCAGGTCCACCAGCTGGGTTTAAAACCCAATGAAGGGAGGGATGGAGAGAGAGAGAGAGATATAATTTGGTAAGTCTATACTGACTGAAAACTGAATTCCTTTTGTCTGCTTCACAGTAAATTAAGCCCTGCTTTGTAGACACTAGATATCAACCAATAATTAATTTCAGTGGTTCGGAATGTGGAAACATCCTCCCTCTTCACTCCCAATATCCCTGCAGTATACCTCCCCATGACCTGCTGATCATCACATATCCATCCTGATAGATTAGCTGATCGTGCACACACACACAGAGACACACAAACAGGCATGCAAACATGCACACACACACACACACACATGCACAAACACACCACCAATTGTGCTGCCAAAGAATCCCTGTGCAAACACACACCACATGTAATTACTATGCTCTATGCAACACACACCTACATCTTCAGGGCCAGGGAAAGGTTACACTCAGCTAATAGAGAAACAGATATATTTCATATTGAGACAGAACAGAGAGATGGAAAGAGAGGGGGAAGGGTGTTACAGTTAGAGGAGGGGGTATGTATAGACAAACAAAGGGGAGAAGAGGAGGAGGAGGTGGAGGAGCTAGGAGGAGGAGAAGACTGTGATTCACCTGTTTCTGTAGCATTCAGTAAAAGGGTCCATTCAGTAAATACTGCCTGTTATGTGTAAAGTATTTGATCTGCTCTGGTTGCACCTGACTGAGCTAACAGCGCCTGCAGCATGCCATAGGGTTCTAAGGCTGTGTGGGCTCGACAACAACCCAATCCTTAAGCTAGCCCCACAACATATCTGACCTCCACCTTAACTGAGTAAATGCTAATTTACTTTCTCGACCAAAATCAAATAGACTATTTTACCATGAACAATTGGAGTGAAGGGTCATATTGAAGTCCACGATGGTGTCTACATACTAAATACTCTCTGCAACTCTCCAACATACAGACAGGTCTATAAATATTTGGACATTGACCAAGTTATAAAAAAGAAAGAACGCATTGGTGAGCTCAGGAACACCAAAACACCCGGAATACCACGGAAAACAACTGTGGTGGATGACAGAATAATTATTTCCCTGGTGAAGAAAAACCCCTTGTCACGATCGTTAGACGGAGTAGACCAAGGCGCAGCGTGATGAACGAACATGTTTCTTTATTTAATGAATACACGATAAACAAAACGATGACGTGACGTCCTAGGTTAACAACCAACACGGAACAAACCAAACGGAACAAGATCCCACAACTATTGTGGGAAAACAGCCTGTATAAATATGGCTCCCAATCAGAGACAACCAGCAACAGCTGACACTCGTTGCCTCTGATTGGGAACCACTCTGGCCAACACAGAAATACAAAACTAGAATCCCGACATAGAAACACATAGAATATACACACCCTGGCTCAACATATAGAGTCCCAGAGCCAGGGTGTGACACCCCTTCACAACAGTTAGCCAGATCAAAAACACCCTCCAGGAGGTAGGCGTATCTGTGTCAAAGTCAACAATCAAGAGAAGATTTCACCAGAGTAAATACAGAGGGTTTACCACAAGATGTAAACCATTGGTAAGCCTCAAAAACAGGAAGACCATATTAGAGTTTGCCAAAAAAACATCTAAAAAAGCCTGTACAGTTCTGGAACAACATCCTATGGACATATGAGACAAAGATCAACTTGTACCAGAATGATGGGAAGAGAAGAGTATGTAGAAGGGAAGGAACTGCTCATGATCCGAAGCATACCACCTCATCTGTGAAGCATGGTGGAGGTAGTGTTATGGCGTGGGCATGTATGGCTGCCAATGGAACTGGTTCCCTTGTATTTATTGATGATGTGACTGCTGACAAAAGCAGCAGGATGGATTCTGAAGTATTTAGGACTATATTATCTGCTCAGATTCAGCCAAATGCTTCAAAACTCATTGGACGGCGCTTCACAGTGCAGATGGACAATGACCCGAAGCATACTGCGAAAGCAACCCAATACTTTTTTAAGGTAAGTAAGTGGAATATTCTGCAATGGCCAAGTCAATCACCTGACCTGAATCCAATTGAGCATGCATTTCACTTGCTGAAGGCAAAACTGAAGGCAAAATGCCCCAAGAACAAGCAGGAACTGAAGACAGCTGCAGTAAAGGCCTGGCAGAGCATCACCAGGGAAGAAACCCAGCATCTGGTGATGTCTATGGGTTCCGGACTTCAGGCAGTAATTGACGGCAAAGGATTTGCAACCAAGTATTAAAACTCACAATTTAATTTATGATTATGTTTGTCCAATTACTTTTGAGCCCCTAAAATTGGGGGGTTATGTATAAAAATGGTTGTAATTCCTACACTGTTTATACAATAATTATAACAAAACCCTTAAATTAAAGATGAAAGTCTACACTTAAAGCACATCTTGATTGTTTCCTTTCAAATCCATTGTGGTGGCGTACAGAGCCAAAATGATGCAAATTGTGTCACTGTCCAAATACTTATGGACCTGACTGTACAAAGGTTAATGCCTAGAGAGATGCAAGTATGGACTCTGAAACATAGATTATTCTTTATTCAATTAAGCATCTTTGATCTACTAGGGGAAATAATCCCTCTCTCTACTCTCTCATGCAGGCAGCAAGGCAGGGAAGCATTTTGTTTTAATTTAGGAAGAATTAAACCTCACAAGATGGTGCAGCTCCATTCAAGAGCAAAGTAAAGGAACATTCTCCTGGCAGGCACCCTGATCAAAGCTTCTATCAACCTGATTCTCCTCTTTCATTTGGCTCTCTCGCTCTTCATTTATCGCTGTCTTTATCTGACCCAATTTGTAAGTCGCTCTGGATAAGAGCGTCTGCTAAATGATGTAAATGTAAATGATCACTGAGGGGCTGGTCAGTCAGAGAGGAAAGATGGACGGACTAATACTTTTTTTTATACTTCATAACTGATTAAAATGTACAATTTCAAAGTTAGGCTGATCCTGCAGTGGACCTAACCAAGATGTGATTGGGTTGAATATGTCAGTTATTGACAGAAAGTGTTAGTCCCCCCCCTGTGTAGAGTTGATAAAGGCTGTCCGATAGTCTAAGCCACTGTGAAGGAGAAGCACTCAGCCGGGCCATCTCCCTCTCTTTCCCTCTCTCTTTCTCTCCCTCTCTCTCTTTCTCCCCCTCCCTCTCTCGCTCCTTCTCCACTCTGCAAGTCAGTAGATTCCATTAGCATTCATCAACAGGGATAATGGGGCAGTGTTAACGACAGCTGTTTATTTAAAGAATAACTCATAAGGCCTTGGCGTTTATGGCTTGATAAAGAGATGCGATTACAATAAGCTCTACATAATGCTCTGGGAAGTGCTTCCCAAGGGCCTTGATGGAATCATTTGACATTGCTGTACTGTATAGGCACATGTGTAGGCACAAAAGCAAGGCATGTGTGCAAATTACACAGAGTACACAGAGGCGTAGACACAGACAAACAAATCACATACAACAAAAGTGAGCTATATTGTAGCTGTGTTATAAATTCCTGCTGTTTTTAACAGGAATCTATCCTTTCCCATGTCAGAGGAATGTGACCTCTTTTAAAGGGCCAGTCTCTTGCTTCATGGCCACTCTAAAGGGCCAGGATATGTCCTAAATAGCACCTTATTACCTACATAGGGCACTACCTTTGACCACAACCCTAAGGGCCCTGGTCAAAAGAAGCGTGCTATATAGGGAATAGGGTGCCAATTTGGATGCAACCCCAGTCGGTTGCCTCTTGAATGAACATGCTTCCTGTTTAAATGGAGAGTAGAGGAGCCACACAACGCCTATATGTTCCATGTCAGACTGAACAGAACAGAACAGCATCTCTAATTCATAATAAGAGAGGGAAGGAAGGGCTGATTAAAAATACATTATAAAGTGGCACTTTAAAGGGACCAAATGGTTCAGGACACAGCGGAGTGTAAGTTGTTCAACAGACTGGGGCTGCGTCCCAAATGGCCCCCTATTCCCTATATAGTACACTACTTTTGTAGTGCTTTGGTCAAAAGGTGTGCACTATGTAGGGAATAGAGTGTCATTTGTTAAGCAGCCAGGGACAATTAAAGGGCACAGAGGAAACTGTGAGGACACGATTAAATCAACATGTCCGACTTTCAAAACAACACTTTAAAGATGATGTAACTGTGAAACGCTGTGCTTTTATGTAACATCAACATATTAACTGATCTACTGTCATTGAAGATGTGATGCAGAAATATTATCTAATTGAATCCAGAGTAAAAATATGGTTGATTATCTAAGAGGAGGAATAACAGACATCAGATAAATGCATTGTAATAAACAAATAATTGCTTTAATTTCACTTATTTTCTTCGCTTTGTGTGTGTTTGTGTGTGTGAATGTGTGTGTGTGTCTGTTTGTGTGTGTGAGTGTGTTTTTGTGTTTTTGTGTGTGTTTTGGTGTGTGTGTTTTGGTGTGTGTGAGTGTGTTTTGGTGTGTGTGCTTGTGGGTGCGTGGGTGCGTACTCATTATCTCCACTCAGCTTTGCTGATCATAACAGTGTGATGTTTTAATTAACCATATTTATATCTCAGGCCCTGAGATAATACATTGGCAACCACCCGCCCATCACTGAGAAACAAGAACATATTTCATAACAAAGGGAGGGAGACTGATTGCTAAGATGAGAAAAACCCTGACAATGAATGTGATTTCAACCCAGGTAGAGATGCCACCTCCTCTGCTGAATTAAAACACATTGTACTGTATCCTGTATGCAATAACACCATATCAACAGCGTGTTAAAACAAGCAATTAATTGAGGTGATTCTGTAGCCATTGTCATAAATGAGGAGCTTCCTCCAGCATCATAAAACAAGCCTCAACAGTAAAACACTGATATTAAGATGCAGTAAACATATGATGCATAAATCAATAGTGAAAGTCACAAACAGATAACTCAGGCTGACACCCAGAGAGAAGAGCCTGATGGTGGGGTTGGGATGGAGTGGAGTGGGCCTGACTGGTTCCTGGCTATGTGGCTGCTTGGCGTGACTAGTGTGGAAAGTGTGGAATGTGGAGGCAGGAGGAGTGTGTAAAGACAGTGGTCTAATGCAGTATGATGAATCCCAGAAGCCATTGCCACCACCTGTCTTGGAATGTCCCCCGTCATTCCACATCATCACCTTCCCTGGGATGAGAAGGAGTGGTGGAGAAGGAGGGGATGAGGGTTGAAGAGGAAGAGGAAGAAAGGAAGAAGGGATGGAGGGAGGAGGGGCAGTTTGGGTCTGTATTCTAATGTGGTTTCACCCCTCAGCCTAGGCCAACATCCCAATGCATAATGGAGGCTTAGGGGAGGTTCGGTTTGGTTGGATGAAGAGAAGGGGCCAAATGGAATGAGGAGTCAGAGGGCCTGAAAATTGGAGTACTGCTGGATGTCCTTGCCTGTGACAGCTCATCTGGGTCACAATACAGCTGTAATGGTGGTGTGGACTCCAAATGGATGACTCTGTCAGTTGTGCCTGGGCTGGTCGGGGCTGGGGCTCTGACTGAATGACTGCTCCACTGGATCAGAAAGCTCCAGAAAAACAGCCCCCACCGGTAGAGCTGATTGGCTTCTCCATGCAAGATGGCTCTACTTAATGATGATGCATAACCCAAGGCAGGATCAGATCCGGCAGGGCAATGCAAGGCAAGCTAGGTTACTCTATCTGGGGCTGCGTCCCAAATGGCACCCTATTCCTTACTACATAGTGCACTACCTTTGACCAGAGCCCTATGGGCCCTTGCAGTGCACTATGTAGGGAATAAGTGGTTATATTTGTTGCACCCGTTAGTGAGAGTCATGTCCTGTTTAAGTGATATCTGGTAGAAGTTCCCGAATAATTAAATATATACAGTTGAAGTCGAAAGTTTACATACACCTTAGCCAAATACATTTAAACACAGTTTTCACAATTCCTGACATTTAATCCTAGTAAATATTTCCTGTCTTCGGTCAGTTAGGATCATCACTTTATTTTAAGAATGTGAAATGTCAGAATAATAGTAAACATTCCCTGTCGGTCAGAAGTTTACATACACTCAATTAGTATTTGGTAGCATTGCCTTTAAATTGTTTAACTTGGGTCAAATGTTTCAGGTAGCCTTCCACAAGCTTCCCACAATAAGTTGGGTGAATTTTGGCCCATACCTCCTGACAGAGCTGGTGTAACTGAGTCAGGTTTGTAGGCCTCCTTGCTCACACACACTTTTTCATTTCTGCCCACACATTTTCTATAGGATTTTTTTTTGCCACAACTTTGGAAGTATGCTTGGGGTTATTGTGCATTTGGAAGACCCATTTGCAATCAAGCTTTAACTTCCTGACTGAAGTCTTGAAATGTTGCTTCAATATATCCACATAATTTTCCTTCCTCATGATGCCATCTATTTTGTGAAGTACACCAGTCCCTCCTGCAGCAAAGCACCCCCACAGCATGATGCTGCCACCCCTGTGCTTCACGGTTGGGATGGTGTTTTTCGGCTTGCAAGCAACCCCCTTTTTCCTCCAAATATAACGATGGTCATTATGGTCATCAGACCAGAGGACATTTCTCCAAAAAGTACAATCTTTGTCCCCATGTGCAGTTGCAAACTGTAGTCTGGCTTTTTTATGGCAGTTTTAGAGCAGTGGCTTCTTCCTTGCTGAGCGGCCTTTCAGGTTATGTCGATATAGGACACATTTTACTGTGGATATAGATACTTTTGTACATGTTTCCTCCAGCATCTTCACAAGGTCCTTTGCTGTTGTTCTGGGATTGATCTGCACTTTTCGCACCAAAGTACATTCATCTCTAGGAGACGGAACGCGTCTCCTTCCTGAGCGGTATGACGGCTGCGTGGTCCCATGGTGTTTATACTTGCGTAATATTGTTTGTACAGATGAACGTGGTACCTTCAGGCGTTTGGAAATTGCTCCCAAGAATGAATCAGACTTGTGGAGGTCTACAAATTATTTTCTGAGGTCTTGGTTGATTTCTTTTGATTTTCCCATGATGTCAAGCAAAGAGGCACTGAGTTTGAAGGTAGGCCTTGAAATACATTCACAGGTACACCTCCAATTGACTCAAAATATGTCAATTAGCTTATCATAAGCTTCTAAAGCCATGGCATCATTTTCTAGAATTTTCCAAGCTGTTTAAAGGCACAGTCAACTTAGTGTATGTAAACTTCTGACCCACTGGTATTGTGATACAGTGAATTATAAGTGAAATAATCTGTCTGTAAACAATTACTTGTGTCATGCACAAAGTAGATGTCCTAACCGACTTGCCAAAACTATAGTTTGTTAACAAGAAATGTGTGGAGTGGTTAAAAACGAGTTTTAATGACTCCAACCTAAGTGTATGTACATTTCTGACTTCAACTGTATAGGGAACAGATCAGAGTGGCAGCCGGTCTTAAACCTGAATATGTAACCATGTCCATTTGATCAATTTTGCCCTGTAATCACAGCCAGTTTGGAAGCCTTTGTTTAGGCCTCTAGAAGTGCAAGTGATTTAACACTAGAACCACTGCTTACGAGCAGTCATTCTGCTTGCAACATTATCACAGTGTAATTAATACATTTCATATATGCTATCACAAAAATATTCATTTGGTTATGTTTATGAAGGTAACATTAGATGTTTTATATTTTTTATAACACAATAGCATTTTCATTAGTTTGTGTTACTGTAGGCTTTATGTAAAAACCAAAACCAAAAATACCTAAATTAAAGTGTTCAATCAATTTTAGTTGAGGAGTGCGTTTGTTACGACTATGAAACAGAAAGCATACAGTGCATTCGGAAAGTATTTAGACCCCTTCCCTTTTTCCACATTTTGTTACGTTATAGCCTTATTCTAAAATGGATAAAATAATTGTTTTTCCTCATCAATCTACACACAATACCCCATAATGACAAAGCAAAAACAGGTTTATAGAAATTTGTGCAAATGCCTAGCAGCAAACGTATCTCTCTCACTCTTACTCTCTCTCTCTCCCTCACTCTCTCTCTCTCTTCTTTCTACTTCTTTGTGTGGCGGTGGATCATTTAAACACCTCCCACACGGTCCCAGCAGCCAGGCAACTGATGTATTGACAGACAGACAGACAGACAGGGAGGGTGGGAAATAGCAGCAGCGGCAGGAAAGTGTGAAAGACAGAGATGGAAGATGGAAAAAATACTTTCACATCGAGCGAGGATCGAGCGCTACTTTGCCCACACCTTCAAGGTCATTTATGAGCTCCACAGAGACTGTGTCATTTTATATAAGTTCGACTTTTTCAAATGCCCTTTTCCTTTTCTCTCAGCCTTCAATAGGAAGACCCGTCAGTCAAAATGAGAGAAAGAAAAAAAAACCCAGACAGACATAAAGTAGAACAGAAATAATGTTTGACTCTGAAAGCTCCATTGAAAGCACAATGTCATGTAAATGAACACCGAGGCAAGGCCCAGAGTTGGCTGGCTGATGGAACATCCGTAATGTAGATGTTTTTCTTTTTGTAACACTAGGGTTAGGGCCAAAGTTGGCTGGATAGTTTTTCTGGTTTCCTATTGCATTGCCCAGACTGAGTGATGTACCTTAGTGACGTAAGTTGCACCAGCGTGTTACTCTGTGTGTGTGTGTGTGTGTGTGTGTGTGTGTGTGTTGTGGTGTGTGTTTGTGTGGTCCTACCTGATCCTGTCTGTCCAGCCAGCGGTCCACCATGGGGTGGTTGGCACTGAGAGAGGAGCGGGCAGTCTCTCTCTGGAACTGGGTGGCCCAGGCTGCTGTATCATGAGGGAGACTCCGGCACGTATCCACTGCCTTACCCTGCACACACGGAGGAGAGGCAACGCTTAATACCACATTTTGATACACAGTACATGCACTATACTGTACTACAACAATAGCATTCGAAACAAGTCCACACACAAATCCTAATTTACCCTGCAGACATGGAGGAGAGACAACGTTTAACACACAAAGTCACACTAAAATCATCTGTTAGTATTCATACAAACACACAAGAACATACATTATATTGTACATTTAATATGTCTCCAAAGTATGATAAAGTGCATATCGTCCAGTGCTACTTTTCGCTACGCAATTCCATGCTGACTTGACAGACAGATGAGATTGTGATGCTGTTAAATAGCTGTAATGTGATTGGCAGGTAGTCTAGCTTATCTTGGCCATGAGCCACACACTGATACAGTTCATTCCTATCTCAGTACACACACATGCTAATTCCTTTTCACTAATAGCCCGGCCACGTTACCGGGAGCTGCTTGGTGCCTTGGACCACAGCTTAGCTCTTCCATTACATAGAGTGTGTGTCCCAAATGGCACACTATTCCCAACATACTGCACTACTTTTGACCGGAGCCCTATAGGTAGTGCACTGTTTAGGGAATATGGTGCCCTTTGGGACGCAAAGAGAATTAAGAACCTCTCCAAAATATTTCCTGTGAAGGTGAAATCAAACACCCACGGGCTATGGTATGCTAATTAGATCTCCATTTGTTGGAGTTTATAGAGCAAACACAGGAGAGAGGGAGAGCGGGAGAGGGGGGGTTACAGTCCAGACAGACATGTCAGGCCAGTCTCTGCCTAGAAAAGGCTGCTGTTGGCTTCAGACAGCACATGTGTTTGTGTGTGTGGTGCCTGTCTGTGGCTACAGACTGTCAGACCAGTCCAGACCAGTCTGGTCGACCCACAGCTGCTCTGTCACTATGTCGGTCAGGACAGGTTTATTTGAACAGTGAGAGACAGAATAACAACAAAAACATCCAGAAAAACGCATGGCAAAATCTTTATAAATTGATTAGCATTTTAATGAGGGAAATAAGTATTTGACCCCTCTGCAAAACATGACTTAGTACTTGGTGGCAAAACCCTTGTTGGCAATCACAGAGGTCAGACGTTTCTTGTAGTTGGCCACCAGGTTTGCACACATCTCAGGAGGGATTTTGTCCCGCTCCTCCTTGCAGATCTTCTCCAAGTCATTAAAGTTTTGAGGCTGATGTTTGGCAACTCGAACCTTCAGCTCGATTAAGGTCTGGAGACTGGCTAGGCCACTCCAGGACCTTAATGTGCTTCTTCTTGAGCCACTCCTTTGTTGCCTTGGCCGTGTGTTTTGGGTCATTGTCATGCTGGAATACCCATCCACGACCCATGTTCAATGCCCTGGCTGAGGGAAGGAGGTTCTCACCCAAAATTTGACGGTACATGTCCCCGTCCATCGTCCCTTTGATGCGGTGAAGTTGTCCTGTCCCCTTAGCAGAAAAACACCCCCAAAGAATAATGTTTCCAACTCCATGTTTGACGGAGGGGATAGTGTTCTTGGGGTCATAGGCAGCATTCCTCCTCCTCCAAACACGGTGAGTTGAGTTGATGCCAAAGAGCTCAATTTTGGTCTCATCTGACCACAACACTTTCACCCAGTTCTCCTCTGAATCATTCAGATGTTCATTGGCAAACTTCAGACAGGCCTATATATGTGCTTTCTTGAGAAGGTGGACCTTGCGGGCGCTGCAGGATTTCAGTCCTTCACGGCGTAGTGTGTTACCAATTGTTTTCTTGGTGACTATGGTCCCAGCTGCCTTGAGATCATTGACAAGATCCTCTCGTGTAGTTCTGGGCTGATTCCTCACCGTTCTCAAGATCATTGCAACTCCACGAGGTGAGATCTTGCATGGAGCCTCAGGCCGAGGGAGATTGACAGTTATTTTGTGTTTCTTCAATTGCGAATAATCACACCAACGGTTGTCACCTTCTCACCAAGCTGCTTGGCGATGGTCTTGTAGCCCATTCCAGCCTTGTGTAGGTCTACAATCTTGTCCCTGACATCCTTGGAGAGTTCTTTGGTCTTGGCCATGGTGGAGAGTTTGGAATCTGATTGATTGATTGCTTCTGTGGACAGGTGTCTTTTATACAGGTAACAAGCTGAGATTAGGAGCACTCCCTTTAAGAGTGTGCTCCTAATCTCAGCTCGTTACCTGTATAAAAGACACCTGGGAGCCATAAATCTTTCTGATTGAGAGGGGGTCAAATACTTATTTCCCTAATTAAAATGCAAATCAATTTATAACATTTTTGACATGCATTTTTCTGGATTTTTTTGCTGTTATTCTGTCTCTCACTGTTCAAATAAACCTACCATTAAAATTATAGACTGATCATTTCTTTGTCAGTGGGCAAACGTACAAAATCAGCAGGGGATCAAATAATTTTTTCCCTCACTGTATGTGTGTCTATTTATATGTATGTATATGTATATGTATGTATTTATATGGGTATGTATATGTGTGTATGTATGTATGTGTATGTATATATATATTTGTTTTTCCCCTACCCCTGTTTCGAGACAGGTGCATGATAATGATACATTCTAAATCAAAACAAATTTCACACATACTGTATATTATTTAGTATATGTAAAAACAAGATTCAATCAAAAATAGTCTGATGGGTGACAATATTAACCTATAACATGTGAATTATATATTATCACTTGTGTATGATGCCCAGCTTAAGGCAAGAAACAGTGCATGCCTTTTTTTTGGCCACTTTTTAAAATCATAGTCGCACAGCCTAGTCCATAGGCCTATATGTTTTGATAGGATTTGTATCACAACAAAAGTGGACAGATAACTTCTTAAAATGAAGCACATTAATCCGCTTTACAATGGGTGTAGAGCCTAACTGGCATACATACGCAGTGCGTGAGTTTCAAGTTTGGGGAAGATCATTTTCACCATAAAAATGCACCTTTATAATAAAAACATGACATGCATAATCGCATTTGCGGTCACATTTGAGAATGGTGTTTTCCTGCTAAATGAACATTTGCGCTTATAGCCTACTGCCGTGTGCACATTGCTGCACTTATAATGTGAAGAAATAGCCTAATCTGATCTGTTGTGTCAGGCTCATTGCTTAAAACATGTTTTCTTTATGCTAGTGGTTGTATTAATTTGCGATCTATCGCATCCCACAACTGTCCCAAACTATGTTTGGAATATTTATTTCTCGCACAGAATAGGTAAACTTTTTTACTATGGGGGATGGTAGACTAACATAGGCTAGTGCTTTTGCTGTTCGTTAGGCATACTCATCTTGTTGGCTGACTAAAAGTAAATGTGGACAGTTCTTTCAATATCTTCAATATGCGCCGCGGAATTGGATAAGGACGCGCACAATTGTGTCCCAGATGTGTCTGTCTTCACTTGTAGCCTGTGAGAAAGATCCGATCATGTGATGGAGAGCCATGGGAGTGAGAGGTGCTTCGGCAAGCAGCCGGGAGAAGGGAATTATAATTATTATATTCAGCCCAAGGGCACAACGGCCACTGGCCACAAATGGCATTGATTTCTTTAGAGGGCATTACGGCCACACAAAGGGGATGCAGCGGGAAATTCTAGGCATTATCAAGTGATTGTCAAATTGTGAATGAGAGACTGATGAAGTGTGTACAGCCTGCACAAAAAACTAAGCAGAGCTCATGCCTTTCATGTGATTTTACTCACATTATCATTAGTCACATTGTTTGGAGAAAATATCCTTTCTATTTTATTCAGCTATGTTCAATTGTATTCTTCATACTATGAAATAATATAAAATAATACCACCAAATTCTAAGAAAATCTAGTCTGCTAAATGAACTAGTGTAGCCCAAAGCCATATTGCATAGCCAGATCAGGGCCTAATATGAGGACAACTCAGAGTATGCTATTCTGTTCTTCTGAAATACACTACATTTTCTTCATATCATGTTTCTTTAGAGCTGTCTAAAATAAATAATGGATTTATTGTGATGGTGTAGGCTATATTACATGGATTTATTAGACTTTTTAAAATGAAGATGTTCCAAAGGTCTGCATCAGTGGCTTGTAGGCTAAGCGTGGAAGCTTGGAGATGCTAAATGTGTTTATGCTAATTAACGTTCAATTACCGTGAGACCGGCAGTTATTTGCTTGACAATTACCGGCTGACAAAATTGCATGACCGCCACAGCCCTAGCACTGGATACTCCTAAAAGTTATGCCCGGCAACGCTCCTGAGGGAGAGAGATCCTGTATGTCTCCTGTATGGTAAAACAATCCATATGGTTTACTAGAGCTGAATGCAGCGTGACCAAGGACCACGACTGAGGAAGGACACGAGGAAGGAGGCCGGAGAGAGAGGCTGGAGGAAGGGAAGGGGTGCAGACAGGGTCATAAAGATACGGGTCAGAGGCCTATTGAGACGCCTGGTCTCAATGATAACCATCACAGTCACAACATACAAACCTTGCTCCCTTCACACAGCACAACACAGGCAGACATGAGACAAAGGAGTCCACTCTTGAAGTTTTTACGACTTATAAAACGACATGGAAAACACAAACCCAGAGGGGCTGTAAATCATCGAGCACATATTTACTGCTGGCTCTGTTAAACCTGTTTAGCGCTTGGTGCTAAGCACAAAGGCCTAGCTAGCTAAAAGGAGAGAGGAAAGGAGGGAGGAGAGTTGACGGACGCATCGTAAAGTCATTGAGGAACGTCAAGATTTTACAATGCTAGCTTGATGAATCAGGAGTCCCATTGGCTATATATCACTGTATTGAGATGAAGCAGGAAAAATAGATGATTCATCTGTTGAAGTCATAGGAAACAGGGCAAATATAATGAGTGGAACATGGCGTGTGACGCTCAAAGCAAGTAGCTTTAGATAAAGCAAAGCGGTCTTTGAAAATATGCTATATTTTCTGTCCATATGTTCAGACAGAAATTAGTGGGTAAAATATTAATAGCGTTTCATTTTAGATTCAACTTTCTGCCAAGATGAAATATTCTATAGCCAAAGTGGCCTAAACATACTGTATTTAACATCAAGTGGTTAACAGATGAAAATAGACAGAGACATATCTAGCAACAATGCCATCTCCTCAAGACTATGATATTCAACCAACATGTTTGTATTGTGCCACCAAAAATGAAAGGTACAATAACAGCTTCATTATTTCTGTCTCCATTTTCCCCTCATAGCCTCTCGGAAGCGACGAGCGGCGTGCAGTAAGATTATGGCGCCGGTGACAACTAAAGTGCTTTTAAATAGGATTATCAGCCAACGCTCTAATCACGTCAAGGGTTGCATTGTCACATTCTGAGCACTCCATTTTCCCCTTCTTCCCTCCATCTCATTTGGAATATCAGTTGTTTCAAAGCACTGAAGGCTTGTCGGCAGCCATTTTGATCTAGTTAATAGGCCTAGCTGTTCTTTTTGAAGCTGCAGGGAGGATGAACCCTAAACTAAGCTTTTCACATTCACTTCTGATTCACATCAGACGACCCTCGAAAGTAAATTAGAACAAATAATATATGGTCAAAGCTGTGATCTTCATTCTTTTCAATAAAGAATAGGGGTTAGCTTCCTAAAAGTGGTGGATAAAGGATAAATTAAGGGGTTAAGGACTAGTATCATTGAAGCTGAATGACATTTCAGGCAGGGTGGTACTACCAGTGTTGTGTTCAGTAGGGCACACCATACCAAAATGGACCACAAAAATACACACTTTTTATTGGTCCTCATTTAAGTCCCGTAGATCACTTCATTACTCCCTTTTTGTTTATAAAGCTCTACTACACAAGCTTCCGACCCACCTCACTTCACTGTTAAAATAAAAATAATATGACACACCAAATCCGTTCACAGGGATGGTTGACTCTTGAGGTTCCACTAGTGCGCACCAATCTAGGTTAATCCACCTTCAATTAGAGTGCCCTCACTTTTTGGAATAGCCTACAAAACTCCCTACATCTTGACTCTCGGGTGCCTCTAGGGCAGTTTAGGATTTTAATGTTGAATTAATTAAATGAGAATTGCAACTGTTTGGATTGAATGTAAAATGGGGTGTTTGAAGCTGTAGTGTTGATTCTGTAATTTGTAGTTTATTTTATTTGTATTGATAATTTAGAATTTGTTGTACTGTTGTCATCAAGGCACAATTGTAAATGAGTAGTACCTCCCTGTTTCAAAATGTTTTGTCCCTATTGGACATGATCCAGGTCATGGGGTTGGGAGAGTTCACTGTGTTCTGGCTGTGGACGTGTTAGGGTAAGGTTTAAGGGTTATGTTTTGGGTTACAGTACCTTGCGTTCCAGGCTGTTGGTCCCAGTGTTTTGGCTGTGGTTGTGGTGGTGGTTGTGCTTGCGAAAGCCTGCCGTGGTGGACCATCGTGTAGGGTTCTTACGGGATGGTTCCTCCGGTGCTGTCTGTGGGTCACCCAGGGGAAGGCCTGCCAGAGTTGGGTCGCTACTGCGCCGGACATGGAGAGGCATGTCTAGAGAGAGAGGGAAGGGGGAGAGAGAGACAGAGAGAGAAAGGTTAGCATAAAACATATTGTACAGTACACCTGAAAAACACATTACTGCTGTTTCTACTTAATAAATATTGACTTACTCCTTGACTGCAAGTCTCTACACTACAGGGCCTATGTGCTGACTGCCACTGTATCAGTTTCCACCAGAATACCAGCCAACAACATCCCACACAGTACCTATAGGGCAGGCTATTGTGTGACTGTAAAATACATGGGAAATGGTAGTGAAGCTGCAGTGTCTGGTCCTCTGAGCCCCAATGAAACATTAGACTGAACTGTGGGCCGTTTAGCTTGGCTGTGGCCCGTGACTACAGATAGTAGAGAGCTGTTCCCTGCTTGTCCCTGAGCTGTAATGGAATTAAACTACAGGGCATGTACTCTACTGTATCTACAAGCCGAGGCCGATCCCAGGCAGCCAGCCATATGAAACTGTGTGCACGGCTGTGACGGTAATTGAATAACCGTGTAACTGACGGTTATGGATGAAGACATCATGAAAATGAAATAACCGTCAAATCTGTTTAAATAGGCATAGGCTTACATTCATTTTAGGATTTAAAAAAATGTTTTATTAACTTTATTTTCATGTAGATAAACTTCACCTAATAGCGGGAGTGTTTCCTAATGATTAAAAGCAATTGTTTTGCTAACTTAGTCTATTAAACATTCTACATCTCCTCCTCTTTCCAACTGTCGTTTGATGCTCGAGTAGCTATGCACAGGGGTGTAGAGTGCTATAGCCTATGACACTTCAGTAAAAAAATAGTTTGATGTGTGGACTTTCTTTTATACAATGCACATTTTCATTGCTCGCTAGTAAATAAATAAAATGGTCTTCTTTTAAAAAAGGTTGGATGTGTTTGACAATAATTAATTATTCAACAGCAGTCGACAAGGTTGTTCTGGCTCTGAGGCCTATAACGCGTTAATGTTGTGTCAAATGGACAATGGGCCAATCCCCTCCAACCTGGCATGGTATA